ATTTATGGTTACAAAACTTATTTAAACTCAAAATATAACCTGCCACATATTCTTAGACATGACTTAATTTTGACTGTCTTTGTGGAAAACCATCTTCCTATCTTTGCACACTGACTGGCATACTGAGTTAGTTTATTATGACCATGATTGAGTTAGTTGCATTCAAATGTGGTCGATATCAAGCAGATGCAAACTCTCATTAAGTACAATAATAAGCGTTTATTTCCTGGTTACTTGTCTGCAGGTGAGTTTGGCTGATTTAATACTGGGCATGACTTCTGGTCACAGGTGAGTGTGGGACTTTAGGAATTAAAGGAGTCATATTTCAGAAATTATTTACTTTCTAGACACATGTAAGTACAGGATAAACAATGAATAATTGTCTAATAGTTGTATCTGAGTGTAGATGACCCATATTGATATTTTGTAAGTATTTGTTGTTTCTTTGAAGTTAAAAGTATAATGAGTTGTCCAGTGTTTTAGGTGCCAGCCTTACTCCTGCTAGCAGAGAGGAGCCCACAAATACATATTAGGTCTTTGTTTGGATAGGGGAAGAAAGAGAGTAGAGATAGTGAAGGACAAGCTAATGAAATTAAGAATCAACTATTTTAGTAATCTCTGCTGGGATGCTTACACAATGCCGTTTAGAGGGTGAGATTATGGCCTGTATTCATATAAATAACTTATATTCCTCTTTCTTCCTTCCGTTCCAGATAGTTAAGAGTCATCAGTTATCAAACAGCCTGATTTAGATGATCACACTTTCTATCTTCTGTTACTTTATTTGTGATCCTCACACCTACGTTGTGCCCATGTGTTGAGGCAGGAGGGCAACCTTGAATATCTTCAGGTGTCATCTGCCTTTCGCTCATTTGAGATTCTCTAACTAGCCTAGAACTTATCAAACTGGATAGGCCGACTGGGCAGTGTGTACCAGGGATCCTTCCTTCTCTACCTGGTGCTGGAATTTCAAATGTGTACCACTTTGCCAAGATTTTTCTCCATGGGTTCTGGAGAGTGAACTCAGGTCCGTAAATGGCAAGCACGTTCCTGACTGGACTTTCTCCTTAACCCCAGAAGTAGATGTTTTCTTAATTAAACATTTCCTTTGAAATTCCATTTCATTGCTTAAATTAAATAAAAATGGTTCTGATGATGAACAGGCAAAGTTTTCTCCTGGGAAAAGAGACCCATTGGGAGATGGGTTAGTAAGCTCTGTTTGACAGCAGAGTTAAAGAAATTCACTATATAACTTTTAAATTAATAAATTTCTGAACTGAAAGAAAAGAAAATCCAAATGACAGAAGAAAGTCAGCTGCTATTCTGTGGGGTTTGTAAGCAACTGGAGACCAGCCTGGTGAGCCGGTATGATCTGGTGATCTGGTGTGATCTGGTGTGAGCTGGTATGAGCTGGTGCTGCAACTTGCAGGTATGAGTCATCCTTTCAGAGCTGGGATTTTTACCAACTTCTTACAGAAGTCATGTGACATTACTTCAAGCCCATTAAAAGCTGAGACTTTGATGGGAATCCCCTGACACAGGTGGGAGAAGTAGAAAAATTAAGTTTACTGATCAAGAGAAGTCCTGTTCTTTGGAGAAAATTAATGGGAGAAGAGTAAGCCCTGTGTTTATACTGAGATCTAAAAGCTAATGTGGGTTTCAAATCCAACTTTAGATGTTTGTAATGTCAGGATGCAAAGCTAAGACATTGATTTGTCTCAGGTCAGAGAGTTTGTAGGAAACTGGAAACCATTGTGAGAAATGTTATAGGCCATCTATTTTTCTCACCCAATGTACCATTATTTATCATGATTTAATAGTTTACAGGTTTTGTTCCATCTATAGGAAGTTTCATGTTCCTTGGCTCTAGGAATGTCCTTATTGTTTTATTTTGTTTTGAGACAGGGTTTCTCTGTGTAGCCCTGGCTGTTCAGGAACTCACTCTGTAGACCAGGCTGGCCTCAAACTCAGAAAGATCTATCTTCCTCTGCCTCTGCTTCTTGAGTGCTGATATTAAAGGCATGTGTTGCCACCACTACCCAACTAATTGTTTTACTTTTTATTAATCAATGAACTGATGACCTCAATTATGTCTGAATTATTGGATTTAGTGTGTTTGGTGTTACAGTGATGGACATGACTTCCTCTTCAAAGCCATTCAGGACATATAGGTAGCATTAAAATTGGTGGCATTCTATGCCATAGTCTTAGTGAAAGTACTTTTTCTGAGAGCAAAAGGTCCTACTAACTCAAAGTAGCCCATGAGCTTTGTTCAGTTTCAGTACATCTCAGTTAAGTAGATATTCTTGCTGTGATCAAGGCAGCAGAGAAGACAGTGCAATTTTTGTTTATTCATGATTTTTATGCATCTTACCACATCCTCAGTGTGTGGGGTGGTCCAGATTCTAACTATAAAGAAGTTTCCACCCCTCCTGAGCAGCTGGTCTCAGGTGCTCAGATCCACAAGCAATCTGGAGCTCCCATCCTCCTCATCTCACTTATTAAATGTGAAAAGTGTTTGACACCTGTGATCTTTCCTTTGTAAACAACCACGGCCACAATTTTCCAATCATGACTTATGCAAGCGAGGCTCCCACTCACCCACACGAAGAGTCGCTGTAAGCAAGACAGCGAGGAAAGGACCTGAAAGGTTAGCATCAGCTTGTCACAGATTCTGTTTGCTTGAGTGCTAGTTGGCCAGAGGTGTCACATCTGCTGTGGTCTAATAGTTTCCTGGGACCAGCAGAACATGGTGGAACTGATGCTATATGAGTTATGGGACCCGAGCCTCAGGTGTTGTCATTTCATCCTTCTCTCTGAAATGACTTCAGCAACTACAAAGAAGCTCAGGAAAGCCCATGAGGAGACAATAGGCCAGGCATCCAGCTGACAAATAGTTTTTGGTAAGTGTCCCTCAAGGACCTCTGAGTGAAAGAATGCCACTTTTGAAAGGCTTCTGTGTTAGGACTTGATTCCCAGCTGTAGCGCTACTAAAAGGTAATTCGACCATGAGAATGATAACTGCACAAAGTGTCTTAGTTAGGGTTTCTATTGCTGTGAAGAGACACCATGACCATGACAACTCTTATTAAAAAAAAAAAAAAAACATTTAATTGGGACTGGCTTACAGTTCAGAGGTCCAGTCCATTACTGACATGGCTGGAAGCATGGTAGCATGCTGGCAAACGTGGTGCTGGAGAAGAAGCCAAGAGTTCTACATCTGGATGAGCAGGCAGCAGGAAGAAAGCAAGCCAACTGGGCTTGGCTTGAGCATCTGAAACCTCAAAGCCCACCCCTAGTGACATACTTCCTCCAACAAAGCCACAGCTCCTAATAGTGCCGCTCCTAATGAGCCTATGGGGGCCATTTTCAAACCACTGCACTGAGCTAACTCACTGATAAGAGTTAAAGAGCTATCTTAAAGTGCTGTTAGAATAGGGTCTGGTTGAAATAGATCTACACCCACACCTGGCTACTATGACCTAATTTTTAAACTCCTCAAAAAGAAAAAAGGAGTTTAAGAATTCCAGTCTTGAAGAGTGTGTATCTGTTAAAATATTAAGAATGGAAATGCTAGAGAAACAAAGACTCCAAAAGGCCATGTTCTGAAACACTCCACGCTATCCAGATGAGTCATGTGCCTGGCCTAATATTCATTATGTAGCCCGGTTGCCTTCAACTTATGATTGATTCTTCTGCCTCAGCTTTTCTGAATAATGGAATTAAAGGCATTCACTACTACACCTGGTTCATTACATTTTTAAAAGAAGATTTCTTGATTTCACTTGCATGTACTTTTTTCCCCCTCAGAAATTGGCTTTTGCGTTCTGCTAAAAAAATTGAGCTGATATGATTAAAGGTATAATATACTAAAGGCATAAGTATGTGAGTTAAATTTTTCCTAAATTTGAATATCAAGACACACAATATATACACGTGCACTCAAATACACATTTTTATACATACATCTCACACAGCATTCATCTTGTCAAATGATTTAAATATAATTTCCACTGTATTTATATACAAGATAAATCTTCAATTATTTTATAAAGATATATCTTCGTTTTAATTATATGTATCTGTGTGAGTATGTACATGTGAGTATAACTGTCCACTAAGGACAGAGGCTTCAGATCCTCTGGAGATAGAGTTACATGTCGTTGTGACCCATCCAGTGTGTGTGCTGGGAACCAAACTCAGGTTCTCTGGAAAAGCACTATATGTTCTTACCCACTGAGTTATTTCTCCAGTCCCCTCAATGATGTTTTAAAGATTAATTTTTATTTTAAAGTATATGTATGTGTGTGTATCTATGTGTATGCATGGAGGGGCTGTCTGTGCACATGAATGCAACTGCCCATGGAAGCCAAAGGAGGGCCAGACAGTCCCTCTGGGGCTGCCAGTGAATTTATATGGCTTAACATCGGTGTTGGAAAAGAACTCAGGTCCTTTGCAAGAGCAGTAACTGCTTTTAACCAGCCAGCCCTAGGTCCTCTATTATTGAGTACAATGGTTATGGAAGACACAGAGGACAGTACCAATACATTCTTATATATAAGAAAGTTTATTAGAAAGAATAGAAACAATAGAATACAAGAAATTCATTTTAGGCAAAAACATACAGAATATACCCAAACGTTCAGGTCTGGGGTTGTAAAGTCAATGCTAAGGCAAGGGCTGTAGAAGATGTCTAATTCACTGGGAACAATAATTTAGAGCTACAAAGTCAATCAATTTGGAGAATTGGGATAAATCCTTAGGGTGCAACTTAGAGATTAATTTCAGCACAGTATAAACATTAGAAAGACATGGTAGCAAACCATGAGAGAATGTAAAGTGAGCCAGGGAGTGTTGACTGATTCTGGGGAAGATGATGGCTCACAGGAATTGTATGGTCCATCCTGCTAAATGATGTTGAACAGATTCCATGTGTCCTACAGGGTCACATGCAAGGATGGTACATATCTGTAAGAGGAGATGAGCCGAGAACAGGGATCTCAGCAGCAGGGGATGGCACAGCACATGGGGCGGGGGCAGGTGGAGATGACACAGGTGGGGCGGTAGCAAGTGGTTTGGCAGCCGACCTGACCACAGACTGGTCTCAGACAGCAGCAGGGACGGCAACAGGGGCGACAGCAGCTGGAACCACCACAGGAGGGTTGGCAGCAGCTGGAGATGCAGCAGCTGGGGCGGCAGCAGCTGGGGCGGCAGCAGGTGGGCTGGCAGCACACAGACTGGCAGCACTGGGGCCTGCAGCAGCTGGACACACAGCAGCTGGGTCTGCAGCAGGTAGGGCGGCAGCAAGGCCTGCAGCAACTGGAAATGCAGCAGCTAGGTCTGCAGCAGCTGGACACACAGCAGCTGGGTCTGCAGCAGCTGGACACACAGCAGGTGGGGCGACAGCAGGTGGTCCTACAGCAGGTAGTCTGACAGCAGCTGGGCTGGCAACAGCCTTGGCCGCATCCCTCCTCAGAGCAGACAGAGCCGCAACAAGAGTTGACCATGGTGTCAGAGGTGGAGGTTCTGGGTGGATTTCTGAGAGAGTGAAGGTGTTGGGTTTGGAAGTCTCCTTGCCCCACACCCCCTTTTATACCCCGCTGAGTGCCTCATATGACCAGGTCATTATTTCCTTGTTAATATTTACCTTCTTGGAAAACTTAATCATTTAATTACATAATTGTAGTGCTTCTACTTAAATACTCCAAAAGAAAGAAAACGTGACATTTTCTTTTCCTGATGGCTCTTGTGTTTGCAACTAAGACACTTCTTGCATTTTTTCCATAGTGGGTCACCTGTTGTTACAAGTAACTTGTCACACGATTCTCTGGCATTTTGTTTTCTAAATATGGCATTCCCTCCTGTCTGTACACCATTCCCTGCCAATCCTAGAAATGCTCTTCCACAGATTCCAGTATGCATTGTGCTATCAAGAAATGTTCCTTCCAGGTGAGATTCAGGAAGGAGTTAGAAGGAAAGGCCATTTAGAAGGAGGCTGTCCTTCTCTCATGAGGATGATGGTGATTTTGTGTGTCCATTAGAGGGTCTGGGAGATGAGCAGACCTGAAAACGTTCTAAGTTGTTAGAACTCATTCCAGTATCTGAAGTCGAAGAGCTTGGCAGTGGTGCAACCACTTAGAAATAATAGAAACTCAGTTCTTTGTATATCTTTCTGAAGAATGATTAAGAGTGGGGAAATTTTAATTCATCTTTTAATCATGAAACTTAGATTTTTTGCTCACCAAGGCATTCAAAAAATGTACAGCATAGGTAATATACTTTATTAGCATTTTATCACATTTATTGACCTATCTACCTACGTATTTATTTATTTATTTATTTATTTATTTATTTATTTATTTATTTATTGTGTTTATGTGTGTTTGTACATGCACCACGTGGATCCCAGGGTTGGAATTCAAGTCATCAGGGTTGGTAGCACATACCTTTACCTGTTTAGTCTCTGAGTCTCCTTGCTTATTGAAAGATATGTATATGTATATATATGTACATATATGTATGTGTATATATGTATATATGTATATGTGTATGTGTATATGTATATATATATGTGTGTGTTTATTTTTATTTATATAATATATTTCATATAATAAGGCTGTAATGCATACCAGTGGATCTTGAATGAGATTAGCAATGACTCATGAAAGGGAATTTACTTTTGGTCAGAGACTCTTGTGTTGTTTTAAATTTTAAAGAGAGAGAGAGAGAGAGGCGGGGGGAGAGGGAGGGAGAGGGAGGGAGGGGGGAGGAAGGGAGAGAGAGAGATAGATCTCCTTACTTTGGCAATATTTATGCAAGATTTTCTGTTGGCTATTCTAGGCATAGAGTAGGTAGCCCTCACTCCTTTCTGTGAGTGGTTGCACAAGACCCAAGCAGAGGCATAAGATAAAGAATTCCAATGACTTTAATGAAACAATTAAAATCAAAATATGTAGTATAGGAATGTGTTCTATGTACCCTTGGTGGTAGTGTAGTTTATAAATTGTTGCTACATATTAGACACTTATGGGTTATGTGTGTGGGGGTATAGTTTGTAAAGTGTCACTGTGCATCAGGCATTGTGTGATTATATTGTATTTCTTTTGTTTTTTTTAACACAGTTCTATGAAGTCTATTCATTCTTCTTTTGATAGAGGAGCTTAAAAAAGCACAGAGAGGCTAAAACCAAAGCATCTGCCCAAGAGGAAACACAATGTGAGCTGAGCCAGCCTCTGAGGAGCAGAGAGTATGAAGAATTAAGCTTGCAGCCTTGGCTGGAGGTGTTTCATCTTCTTGGAATGCTGCTCACCCATAGAGGCTCAGCAGAGACGTTTCCTCCTGCGTGGTGTCTGTCCTGCTAAATGTCCCTCTTCACATGTCATGACCCTCTGCGTCAAGCTTCTAACTCAGCACATTCTACTTTATGATAGTGGCTTGTGGAGTGGATGGAGGCATAGGAGTGGGTCATTGTATAGACTGGAGAAAAGACAGGAAATAGTTCAAAAGTGAATGTTTATTTATCTAACCCATTAGCCAGACATTCATATTGCTTATGAGGCATTTATAGTGGTGTGTCACCAGATAAAGGCTATGTGTAGAAAGCTGAAAAAAAAAACTTGATTTGCAGAGGAAGATGTGTTTGCTGATGCCCATCAACACACTGCTCAACTCACATGTCTAAGCCATGGCGGGAGGGGAGGAAGGGAGGCACTTATCAAATTATAACACCTATTCTCTTTTGCTCTAGACTTCCCAGTTTTACTCTTAATGCTAGGAAAACTATCAATTAGCCAAAAATATTTCTGAACATCCCTTGACTTTGCTTGAATCTTACACACTATAGAATCTTAGACAAAGACTCCATCCAGGAAGTTCCAAGAGAGGAATTGAGGAACATGGTCCAAAGAGGAAGAAAAAAACATCCAAAGCATTTGTACTAATGATGGGATTATATTGTGGGCAAAGGCTAGGTGTGTGAGTGAGTGATGTTTGCTCTCTATGTGTATGGATAGGTTTAATAAGGCTGCACTGCATACCAATGGATCCTGAATGAGATTAGCAATGACTCATGAAGAGGGATTTACTTTTGGTCACAGACTATTGTGTTGCTTTAAATTCTAAAAACTGTGTGTGTAGATGTGTGTGCGTGTGTGGGGGGGTAAGATAGAGAGGTTTTCCTAGAAAGGAATAAATGTTATTTATATAAACTTTATAATTTTCTTCATGGATTATGTGCAACATGTTTCTGCCATCATGCTTGCATTCTTATTTCTAAGAGGCACAGAGAGATTGAACATTCGTTTTAATGAATGGCTCCAGCTCTTAAGTCATCGATTATGAACAGGTTTTGGGACAGGTGGAAATCTCCAGAAAGCATATGCTGAGACAGAGATCAGCATGCTGAAGGGTCATGGAGACATGTTCTGGGGATCAACTGTCATGGAAGAGAAGGAAAGAGAGTGGGATTAGATACTGGGACAAAACCAAACTGGAAGGGTACCTCGTGGGCAGGCTTCTGGGGAGTTCAGAATATGGAATGACGTGTTTGAAGTATGTCTAAATGGAGGAGGGAAATGTGCTTCTTTATCATGCTACCCAGGAAAAGGACAGCCTTGGGGAAATGTCACTACCTCCAGCAACTGCAGTGGGCTCTGCCCAGATTTCATTCACATCACCTGTCTGCATCAGAAACGGACCCAAAGAAGCTAAGCAAGAAGGAAGGCTCAATTGAGGAAGCTTGAATCTCACTGAGAAGAGGAAAAAAATAGTCAAAAGAGGCAGATAGAGGAAGGCAACTGGGAGTGAGGAGAGATGAGGAGGGGAATGGGGGATTCAGGATCAGGTGTGGGGAAGGACAGGAGAGATGACTAGATAGCAATGAAAATAAATGGAAATCTGCAACTGATGGCGGTGTGCTCTCCTTTTTAAGGGCACCAAAATACAATTCAAATGTAGACAGCCATGTTTGTGAGATTTATGGGTGTAGTTTTTGATGTTACTAGGAGACACAATCTCACAGCAAATTTCCTAATCCTCTAGTTCTTAGTTCTATCCACCTTCTCGTCTACAGTGTTCCCTGAGCTGTGGATGAGGGAATATTTTTTATAGATGTATCTATTGGGACTGTGCTCCACACCTCTGCATAATGATTTGATGTGGTTTTGTGTAGTAGGCTCAACAGGTTATATCTGGGAATATATACATAAAACAGCAGATGATGGAAAAAGAGGCAATAGATTTGAAAGAGAGTATGGTGGGATATATGGAAGGATTTGGAGGAGAAATGTCATAATTAAATACAATCTCAAAAACGAACTAGGTAATTAACTATCTAACTAAGATAAAAAAAATACATGTACCCAGGAAATATATGCAAAGGTTTCAAGGTTTCTTTCTCTCTTTTTAATATTTCTCTCTCTCTCTCTCTCTCTCTCTCTCTCTCTCTCTCTCTCTTTGTATGTGTGTGTGTGTGTGTGAGTGTTTGCAGTTGCTATAGCACGCATGTAATCAGAGAACCACTCTTGGGAGTCAGTCTCCACCCACCATGTGAATGTCAGGTTTGCAGCTCTGAGCAACAGGTTTGTTAATTAACCACCTTTATCCACTGAACCATTTCACTCACCCTCTTTTTTTATTTACATACTCACATATATATTTTTAAAGAAAGAAGCGGTCACATTCAAATTTCATCACCCTTGTATCGGATGTTTATTTTTGTTACACAGAAGTAGTAAAGTATGAACATTTTTTGCAAAAGCTATAAAAGACAATGAATGGATTTTAATGTCATGAGGGTTAAAATGCCTGCTCCTCTAAGAGCTAGGGATAATTTAAATTCCTACAGCATGAGGAAATAGATAAAAATACAAGGTGAGACATGTTGGAGGAGACCTGTTAAGCTATTTGGAGGTTTTTGATAAAATCATTCTATGGAGGAACTTTGGACAGAAGTCAGAATGTGCACACGGAACAATTGCAAACAGGTCTGACTTCTGGGACTCAGGAGATCAAGTCTCTCAAACATTATGCACTTTTTAGAAGGAGGGACTTCATCTGCAGAGATTGAGAAGATAAATGGCACATTCAAAGAGAAGATTTAGCAGCAGGGGATGGCACAGCACATGGGGCGGGGGCAGGTGGAGATGACACAGGTCGGGCGGTAGCAAGTGGTTTGGCAGCCGACCTGACCACAGACTGGTCTCAGACAGCAGCAGGGGCGGCAGCAGGGATGACAACAGCTGGAGCCACAGCAGCTAGACCCACCACAGGAGGGTTGGCAGCAGCTAGAGATGCAGCAGCTGGGGCGGCAGCAGGTAGGCTGGCAGCACTGGGGCCTACAGCAGCTGGACACACAGCAGCTGGGCCTGCAGCAGCTGGGGCGGCAGCACACAGACTGGCAGCAGCTAGGTCTGCAGCAGCTGGATACACAGCAGCTGGGGCGGCAACAGGAGGGCTGGCAGCACACAGATTGGCAACAACACTGGGGTCTACAGCAGCTGGACACACAGCAGCTGGGTCTGCAGCAGCTAGACACACAGCAGGTGGGGCGGCAGCAGGTGGTCCTACAGCAGGTAGTCTGACAGCAGCTGGGCTGGCAGCAGCCTTGGCCACAGCCCTCCTCAGAGCAGACAGAGCCACAACAAGAGTTGACCATGGTGTCAGAGGTGGAGGTTCTGGGTGGGTTTACAAGATGGAGAGAGTTCCAAGTCTGGTCTCTTTCCTTGCTGTTTCTTGCTTTTTATACCCTGCTGAGGACTACTAGCCACGTGACTCCTGTTTATACTATAGAAGATCGGTTAGTTTGAGTTAATTAGTCGTGTTTATCTATATATAGAAAAGGCTGCTTCCTTTTCCTGCTATATTCCTAGCTATCCAACTTGGCAAAGCCCAAGAGAATCAACTTTCCTTTTCTCACTTTGATATTATATCCCCGAAAGTAGACACAGTCCATAGCTTTGTCTCTTTTGGGTTGATTCTTTATTTCTGGTCTTATCCTGGGGAATTATGCTCAGAATGGACTTTATGGTGACGTAGATCTCTGGCAGCAACAGGTTAGAATCAGATCTTACAGGATACTGGTGGGAAAACGGGATGAAAAATTGGTGTTTGTGGAGTGTGAAGGTGGGTGGTAGCTTGTAATCAACAAAGAGTATTGTATTTCTCAAATAGTCAGTCTGGTGTGAACAAGCTTAGGGAGGACCCTAGCAGTTTGGTCTTATCTAATCTCTCAAAGGTGAAACAGTTTTGCAGTGATAATTACTTTTGAATAGCAAAAACATGTTGGCATGATGGAGTCTTAAAAATTATTAAATGTTAGTTCCATGTTATTCAGAGTGGGGTGTGTTAAAGGCATACTTTGATCAGCCTTTTGGTAAGTCAACAAGGTCAGGGAATATGTGTAAGTAATGATCTTAATATATTGTCTACATGTACGAGATTCCCAAAGAATAAATAAAAATAATTAAAAATCTATGTCTTTTCCATATTTTGAGTTATTTTTTTCCTCAATAATGTATATTGGAGACATTTTTGCTTCAGATAAGATACAACTAAAGGCATAAACTTTCATTTGCAGATGATTAAGGGGACATGATATGTGCATGGAAAAAGTAGTTTGTCAGGTTTTCCAAGGGTTGTTGAACTAGTCAATAAAATTACAGTCATGTTTTTAAGTAAGTGCTTTCCCAGTGGACAGTAAGATAACACTGATAGTTAAGGTTGGTTGAATACCTACTGTGTGCCAGGAATTTTTGGGGTCCCCTGTAGTTGTTATCTTATTTCCATTTCTCAAGGACGCTGTAAAATGGATGCAGTTCTTGTTAAGTCCTTACACTGAGGTCCCAGATGGACTGAAGGGACATAGTCAGTCTCTCATGGAATATGAAGAATGGTAATCTCGTGTCATTTCTTACACCTAGGATATTTTACTTTCCTAGAAAGTTTTCTTCTTTGTCACATTAGCAAACTCCTACTCATCCTTCAACACCCAGCACAGCTCACTTCTGATCTTTCTTTACATTGACTGCCCTCACTTTTCCTTTCCCCATTGCCTCTGTTGTTTTATCTCATCCCTCTTTCCAAGGTAAAGCCTAAAAGGTCTTAGTCTCAAGAAAATGTCTCATTTGCGTTTTTTAGTGTGATGCCCTGTCGTGAGTGAGAGATCAGTTGAGTGAATATGGGATTTATTAAAATCAAAGGCACTTATCAATGATGGAGATGATATAGCTGGTTGAAGCAAAGAAGGACCATTCAGATGATAAACTCAGGCTTGGATGGACTTATGTTTCAGCAGTTGACGGTGTTAGTAATCTGTTAAACTCCACCTCCACAGTTACTTGGAAGCGGCCAGGTACGCTCCTCCCCACAGTTACCTGGCAACAGGCAGGTAACCCTGCCCACTATAAAAGGGGCTGCTTGGCCTCTCCTCTCTCTCTTGGTCCCTTGACCCCTCGCCTGCAGGTTGATGTCTCCCCTCCCCCCTTTCCTTCCCCCTCTCTCCACGTGGTCATGGCCGGCCTCTACCCTCTCTACTCTTCTCTCTCTCCTCCCGCTCTCCCACTCTCTTAATAAACTTCCCTTCGTGGAACCGTCTAGTCTGCTGTGATCTGTCCAAGCTGTGTGCCATGAAAACCTTTTATTGGTGCTGAAACCCAGGAATGAAGACTTCGGGGACCTCAGCTGCTGTGACCATACAAGATGGACACAACGCCACTGCCGAGCTCATAAATTAACATCCGCTGCTACAACCCTGTCCTGTGGTGCTGCTGCTGCGAGGCTCAACAAACTTCTACCATGTGAGCTGAGCTGCTGCGGCTGCCCCTGTGGTACTCTGCCATGTGGGCCGGTTAGCAGGACAGGCATGTAGACCCCTGGTTCCACATTTCCTGATATCAGACTGCACAAACTCACAAACAGACATCGATTAATTGGTAAGGAGTTTCCGTTCGGCTTGAGGGACCCTGAACACCGGGTTAGCGCCTGGCCAGCGCTTCCTGGACTAAGGGTTTGGCTTTTCATGGCCCCAGTCCATATGGCCTCTAGCTGATCTTCGACTTAAGACATTGGCCCGTTGGGTGGTTTTTCCCCTCTAAAGTAGCTCCCAGTCCCTCCCCAGCTCTTGCAGCTCGGCCGGAAATCCTGGTACCAGGTGAGAGCTACTTTCTGGCGGGCTCCAGGAGTCTCACAGGGGCCCCTAGATTTTCTCATGACGGCCTGATTATCTAGCTTGAGCCTGTTCTTTGTTACCAGTTTTTCTTTTGGGATACTAAAAGATAACTTGGTAATAGCCACTTTCACCCAATAGGCATGTTGCCTTTGTCCGTACCCACAGACACATACTGCCAGCAGTCTGATAACTGGAAAAAATTCCCTATACCCCTTTCCATGTGTTCTGCCTGCTCCCCACCCAAGGTTCTACCCTCTTTCTAATCTTTCTTTTTTTAATTAATTAAACCAAAATGGGGAATTGCTGTGACCCTAGCAGATGTCTGCAGGTTCCACGCACACTAGCCTAGAACTGATAAGCTTCCCCATCCCCCACTGGCCAGAGTCCACATGGTCCCAGGGAAGATTCCTTGAGCTAGAGTGAACCCTGTCCTTCCCTGAACCTCTCTAGGATGGCTCCCCTTAGATGAGACACTTCCCCTCTTCCTCTTGAGACAGTTTCTTGCCACTGAGTACCCCAGGCCAGGCCTGGACAGACTGTTCTCTCTGCTTCAGGAGCACCGGCTCCTACCATAGTCCCCAGGTGCCTCTTCCATGGGTGAGCCTTTACTGTTTTCTCCCAGGATCACCGGCTCTGCCCCATCTTGTCTCTTCCAAGAGAAAGCCTTTCGCGCCTTTTCCCCTTCCCCTTCCTTCGTCATTTGTGGGTCGTCTGGAACCTCAGTTCCAGCGCCTTGCCTGGAAAGCTAGCGGGTCCAGGGCCCAGTTAGCTCCCCTCACCTCCTCTGCGATCGGTCCCCCGGTTTGCCTGGTCCCTTCCGTCTGTGGTTCTTAGCTCTACTCTGGGTCTTCCCCTTACATCCTGCTGCCTGGGACCTATACCGTCGCAAAAACTAACGTAGGAGTGATATGGGACATGCTTGCTTTTCTTTACTCACTGCTTCCAGAGACACTGGGCAGCGGCTTCCAGCTGCTAACAGGAAGTCCCACCCTGCTGCCGCCAGCAGACCTGCCCGCGGCATCTGTGGCTCGCAACTCTAACCCGCCAGCTATACCATATGGTACTGTTGCCAGCTGTCTTATTCTTGTCTTAGCCAAATGTTTCTTTGCTAATACAAAAATGTGCTTTTCTCTACCTACACAACCTGCCAGACTTACTTAAGACAGGATAAGAAAGGCTCTGTCTTGATAGATTTTTACTACTGCTATTATTCTATTCAGTTACAACCAATCCTTATGGCTCTCAATCTTGTCAAAAGTCTGCTAATCGTATATTTTAAGTATATGGCCGACAGAATGCCCAAAGCCTCTAACAGTTAGCCCAAGATGGTTTCAGAAGACCTGGACACTGGACTCCTAGAACATACAGCCTAGATTGTATGTGGACAAACACAACTGGATACCCTGAGTCAAATGACTTGGCTAAAACAAGCTAAGTCATTTCCCATGTCATGCATATCCATTCCACAGAAAAAAGCCCTGTGGCTTCTGCACTTAGAAACCAAACTGACTTCACCCAAGAGACTATGGAAACCACGGGAACTGTTGGCTAGTGGACTCTGTCATTTTTTAAAAATAATATATAACTGGTAGATTGTTGTTTACTCTTTATCATACCTCTGACTACATTGACAGCTAAGTTTTCACAGATTTTATCTGTTACCTCATTACCTAAACTCAGTTGAAAGACTACTTGTGCTAACTCATGCTGTTATCTGTTTTGTAAACTTATAAGCTACAGGAAACCCACTCAGATCTACCTCTCATGGATGCCATCCAGATAAGTACATCTGCCTAAAATTCCAACTTACTACCTATAACAAAGGGTGGGATCCCTCTGGGTTTCAAATGTACATCTTAGAAAAAATTCTTTCTCCAAGTGTTCTTAACCTTATTTCCTACATCTTGTCAAGTCCAGGTGCATCCAATACAGCTCCAGAAAAGCAACCTTCAGATGCTCCATCTCCTGCCACATACACAGCTGCTTCTACTGGACCTGTTCCTTCTGGCCTATCCTCAGATGGCTCACTCCACAGACCCTGGACATCAGAAAACAGCCAGTTCTCCTAAGACTGGACAAACATCTCCCATTCTTCTAGGTTGCCCCTAAAGACATATCACCCCCTATGTCAGCAGGAAGTAGCCAGATTTCATGACAACCCTATTCCTGGTTCGCTGTCACCTCTTTCTAATTTTTCTTTTTAATTAAACCAAAATGTGGGAATGTTAGTAATCTTTTAAACTCCACCTCCACAGTCACCTGGCAATAGCCAGGTATGCTCCTCCCCAAAGTTACCTGGCAACAGGCAGGTAGTCCTGCCCACTATAAAAGGGGCTGCCTGCCCCCTCCTCACTCTCTTGCTCCTCTCTCTCTTGGACCCTTGACCCCGTGCCTGCAGGTTGCCGTCTCCCCTCCTCCCTTCCCTTCCCCCTCTCTCCACGTGGTCATGGCCGGCCTCCATTCCTCTACTCTCTTCTACTCCTCTCTCT